ATGTAAATGTGGACCAAAACCTGTGAGGTATGTTTCCAGCACCTTGTTAAATTTATGCCACAAAGAATTTAGACACTTCGCGAAGCAGTGCTACCAGCTGCAGGTGACTGTGCCTGTGCACACTCCTAACTTTAAGCCTCAACAGTATCCAAATGGGGGATTTGATTTGAACAGTTCAGTTCAACCATCATTACCATGTATGAGGGAAAAATGATCCACAGCAGGGATGTCAAACTCTATACACATCGTGGTCCATATACAGCCCACTTTGATCCAATGAGACTACATGATAAATGTGTAAAATTACAGAAAAAGTTAGTTCATTGCTCAGACTGTCCTGTAATTACAAAATATGACGTTTTTGTTCATTTACAATGGACTGACTAATAAAAGAAAAACAGGAACTTTCCTGTTATTTAATTGTTTATCTGTTAGCTCATTACTTTGGTGCAGCATGAATGGCAATGACTGTCGATAGTCTTTATCAAGTGGAAAATCTGTTAAACTAAAATACAGGTGAAAGTTTGAAATCTATGCACTTCTTTATATTTTCTAAAGCTGTCCAGTGGGCTGGATTCATTCATCTACCATTAGTTAAAGACCAAACTAGAGCTAAAAGTAGAGCAAATATTGGAATTTTATTAGTCACATATAATTACATGCAAAAAGTTAAATTTTAAGTGTGAGTATTGTGGCACCTGTATATTTGTCTTTTTTCTGCCCCCTAGTGGCCAAGAATGAATGGCTGCAGCTTTAAATATGCTTAAAATCTTCACTGAGTTTTATGAGTGCAGAGAACAATCTTTGCTCTGTGGAGTTGCTTTGCTAAATAAATTGCCAAAATTACAACAAGTTTTAGAATCTGCGCATTAACAAGAAAAAGACTTTGTGGGGATTTCTTTACAAACTTTTGGATCACTATAGAGGCCAAGTGAGGAGAACATTTTTATTGAGATAAGAATAAAGTGAATTTTAAAGTCCTGAGGTCAAGTCTAACATGGCCTCTCCTGCCATGTGGAGAAGATCACAGTGTTTTTAATTAATCTCAGAGGGCCCCAGTTTAAAGGAGATAAGATGTATCACTTCCACTCAAAAACCACCCAGAATCAATCAATATAAAACTGTTATTGCTGATAAATAATCTTTTTTAAAAAGGTAATTTTCTGTATTAGACAGGGCTCAGTGATGCAGGGGGAAAAAATTTCAAAGTGTGAATCTTTGTATAATATGTCTTTCTAAAATGAATAAATACCCACCAGCTCCACGGTGACTGCGCTGTGGATTCCTCCGGCTCTCTCGAAGGCCCAGGGGAAGTTGAGGAGCCCAGCACCCAGAGCGGATTTAAGCATGATGAAAATGGCCCCCACGGAGCCCAGCCGGGGCCCAACGTCCAGAGGCGGCTTGGCCGAGGCTGAAGCCAGAAGACTGATGCTCTCTCTGGCCAATTCCTCCATGCTCCGACCGCCAGGAGACTCACTGCGCGATACTGCGGTGCTCGCACGTAGACTGCAAACAGGAGCAGGTCACTTGGATGCTGGGCTTGCCTCTCATAGGGGCCCACTGAGCAAGGTGGGCCGGCTGGAGAGCGGGTGGAGGGAGGGGTGGATCTGCTGCTGCTGCCTTCAGGTGCTGCTCAGAAAAAGTCTTTTAACTTAATCCAATGGATCACTTTCATATTGTTGTTGTTGTTATCTTCCCAAGACTTTCCTCTTTGGTTTGGTTTATTTTGTTTAAAAAAAAAAAAGGAAAAAAAATCTAAATAAAAATAAGTAATATTTAATCTGCCAGAGGATTTATTTAGAAAGCGTTCAATGTGGCAAATTATTTGAAAACAAATGGGGTTTTTTTGTTTTTACGTCGTGTAATAAAAATGACATATTTTCTCAGTCTATATCTTATTCTAAAGGTCCTGGCAGTAAAGTAGAAAATGTAGTACGCTATGAAATATGCTCTAACTGAACAGCAATAGTGTGAAATGTCTAACTAACCTTAATAATATGTTCGTAATAAGGGCTAAATGTGGCGTTCCAGTCTGTCTGCATAACTGGTTATGTAGAAAAAAAAGTCAAGTTGAGCTTCTCAATTCAGTAACCTGAATATATACACACAACAACAAACAGCCAGTATGTGTGCGTGGACAGAATTAAAGAAAAGGCTGGAATATCTATGCTAGGGAGCATCTTAGAATGAATCCTGGAGGTTGGGGTCTTTGTGAGGGCTAAATGTCCTTGACTGGTAAAGACAGTGAAAGTCTGGAAACAGAGTGGATGAGGAAGACTAAGACCTGCAGTGTGAACGTAGCCTATGGATCTGGCCTCTCCATTAGTGTTTTCTGCTTGAAGCAGAGGATGAATGGAAGATGCCAGTCTTTCTTTGAAAGCTTTCTTGCACGTTCTTTTCTCTATACATGCCGCCATTGTGTCCCCTTTTCCGTCTTCCCTCTCATTCCCTCTTTTTGATGCTTTTATCTGCTTTTGTTCGCGGTGCCTCATTCAGCAGGTTGTCTGGTCTGGAAGGGGAAGTAAACATGAAGACAGTTCTGAATGGCCTACATATGTCCAGCAGAAATAACATGGGAGCATCAACTTGTAAATTTCATGCACAGGATTGATTCAGGGGTACAAAAGCCAAACCCACTTTGTTTGAACTCATCCCTTCCGAAATGTATATGTCACTTTATTTCACTTGTGAAATTGAGTTTCTTGACTTTTAATTTCATGGATGAAAATGAAAAAGCAACACAAATCAATTTCCTGCGGTGCAGTCACAGGGTAACAGATTGCACCCCGGAGTTTAAAGCCAGCTTTCTGGGGGGAAGAAAGGAGAGAGGCAGAAGCTACAAGCAATTTGTTGATTTGCATGCATAACCCATGTGTTTGGGATTCAGACACTGAGGAAAAGGAAATTGATCTCACAAATTCCTTTGAAAATGAACGAGCCTGCCACCAGGATTGGGCATGGAGATAATGAATGAGCAGAGCTGTGTTAATGGGTCCTTTCACAGCTTAGGTATCACAGGCCTGGACAAGCTCCAAGCAGAGAAATGCTACAGATGCAAGACACAGCACAAACAGGGAAAATGCTACAAAGCAGCTATAAGATGTGAGGAAGAATCATGGCCCTGATTTGAGTCACCAGCTACACACATGGGAAATTAATTAGTAACGGATCCTAGTGGGCACATAAAAGTATCAGAAATCGTCTGATTCAAATCTTTAACCAAAGGTTTGGCAGCATATTTTTAGACGTCATCACTGGCTGCTTTCTGATAGCTTCCAGGTATATGTGATGGGTAATTCAGATGATTTGGTGCATATTTCTTAAACACGCAGGAGGAAAGCTTATATAGAAAGTGGCTGCTGAAACGCTGGGAGAGCTGGAGGAGCAGGAGTTTAGATTTCAGCCAGCGTGTCATGCTGGATGCTAGTAGGATGTGATAAGGGAAGAACCAATGGATCATTTGGAGAATTCAGCTCAGAGCCACCCCAGTAAATGTTTCAACTGCTCGTTCAGAACATAACCCTACAACCTGGTTGACCCAACAGGAAGTCCTGGCATCTGGGAACCTTGGAGGAAACAAGGGCATGTGACCTCCACTCACCACCAGCTTTCCCAAATCTTGTTAGCACGGCAAGCTGGCTCCGGGGTCATTTCCCAGTTTCCCAAGGTTCCGAGGGAGATTAGTTCTTAAGTGGAGCCATCATCCAAGAAGACTGGTGACAGATTCACAGGCTGATCTGGCCTATTAGGCTTGGATAAAGAGCCAAAGCTCAGAGCCCCCAGCACACCGGCATACATCACCTCTGATGAAATCAGCCTGCATCACTGAATTCAGCCCAATACCAATACTAAACCCATGAGTGGTGTGGAATTAGTCCAGTCAATCTGTGATTACTCCTCGGAAAGGAATGCAATTATTTCTTCTCAGCAGTCTGCCTCATGTCACAGGTTTAACCTCCACTTTTTAATCACTCTCTAGCGCTCGTGGTGACTGGAGCCAAAATGTTAGGTACGTAGGTTTCATCAGTTCTTTGTGATACCTGCAGCACAGTGGAGAGAAAATGTGCAAGAAAATGCAAGTAATACAAAGACTAAAGCTATGATGGCATTAATGCTGATTAAGCAGCTCAGTTTTATTTTTTATTCAAATTAGGATTCGAGTCACCAGGACATCTACGTGGTCTAGCAGTTAAAGGTCAGAGCGGGTAAAGACAGGAACAATATAGTCCCCCAATCTACCTGTGGATGGTGACCTTTTGGCACATCAATAAACCCCTGTCTGCCACCTCCAAATGTTTATTGTTGAATGATCAAACATACCCCCTACAAAAACCTTCTGGAACCTTTTATTGATTTTGCGCCATTTCTCCAGGTATTTTGCTTTTAAGAAATTACTTTTCACGTAGGTAGCTTTGTGAGATGTGTGTGTGTGACTGAACCATCCTTGATTTTTGGAATAGAGCATACAGTTCAACTGCATCCACAGGATGGAAACAGAAAAAGAAGCAAATGCATGACGCACAGCTGTAACCATTGTACCAGTCTTTCTACTGGTCCCAACAGGCAGCAGTGGACATTACATAAAAAAGGCAAATAAAAATAAATAAAATAAGTAAAACCACTAATGGAACCACGAAAAAGGTTCAAAAAGGTTGTTCATGGAAGCAAAGAAAAGAAAGAGCAGTTTGCACACTGCTGATTCTTTGCCTTTATCACATCTAAATATGGATATGTGCATGTATTTTTCCATTTGTTCCTCTGCTAATATAAATTTAAGACTTAAAAATGTTGTAATTGGTGAGCAAATCTGCACCTCACCTCAAAGAACTCTCTTTAAGGTGTCAGGAGTGCTGCTGAGAGCATGACAAGTTTATATGAAGCCTGACTACAGAGTGCTCAGCCATGTGTGATGAACTCCCTGGAGTGGTTGGGGTTAACAACTACAGATTTTTACATTTAAAAAAAATCTGCAAGTTTTGCATTTCAGAAGAGTTGGCTTAGTAGATGCTCCACTGTAGATCATATCTTAGAGACAAATTCCAGCTCTGAAAAAAGAAAGCAATGCAGAAGAGTCTTAAACTTGCATTCCTTATAATGGCCAGCAGGGGGCGACTGTTCTAGTTGCCTAATTTACGACCCGGTAAACAGGTTCCTTTTTTCTTTTTTTTTTAAATATACAACAGATGATGTTTATTTTGGACATGATGCTACCCATGTGAGTCATAACCTCGGGTAGGCTTTAGGGTGGGCCAACACTAATCGAAATTGCTAGCCCATGACTGCACAGGGTCCTCAGTTTCTTCGTCAGATCCACCTTGTAATCCTCATCCTCTTATTCCAGGCCTCTTTTAGATAGTCTGCTGGCTCGGTGCTATATTAGCCAGTACTAGCATAAACATAACCTGTGACTGAACAGTCAACTGCCAAGCTGCATTGTGGGTAATTCTAACAAGAATGAAAAATGTTTTTCATTGATTAAAAGTGTGCAGTTTCATAGATCAAACTGCTCTAAAAAAAATATGAAATATGCATTATTGAAAAAAAAAAAATCAGCTACTAATAAAATTATTAAAGTTAAAAGGAAGAATCGGGTCACTTTGATTATGCTTTTTAATTGATGAGATACAATTCTGTCAATGCTACTGTGCTGACCATGAGATCAGGAAGGATGTCATCAACAGAACGCCCAACCACAGTTCATTCATCATATAAAACCCAAAACAAAACATAAAAAGACTTCTTTTTAACAGATATGGGCAGGACTTATAAAACCATTGACAGAAAACTTAATCACCCTGTGGCTCTCATGCTGAAAGTATCAGCATCACTTCATGTGTCTGTGTGTGCGTTTCTGTTTGGATCTCCACTAACAGCTTTGTATTTGTACGTGTGTCTTGTATTTTAGTAAATGTGTTTGGGCTTGGCAAATTCAATAAATATAAAAGTCAAACACATTTCATTCATAAAGAAATGGGTCAAAGAAGAGAAACTGAAATGTGGACACTACGTCTGCAGGCATTGTTAGGACCATGTGTGTTTTATATCATGTGTGTAACACTGTTCAATGGTCCACAAATACATAAAAACACCCCAAGCAGCTTCGAACAGACAGGAGGCACAAAAAATGTTTCTGCTTCCAAAAAATTCCTGGAGCAGGTTCACGTCCGAAAGGCTTCAGTCTAAAGACAGCCATATGTCTGCCTCAGCAGTTCATTAAGACTCCATGTAATTCCAAACCTCCATCAACACAAGTTTTCCTTTTAATAGTGTCTCAGTTTTGCAGGTAAACCCAGCAATCCAGCTGCAGTTCAACAATGCAGCTAAACTGTGGGGTTCTTCCCACTCGTCTGCTGCTGCTGCTGCTGCTGGAGGTACGTGGGCCGTTTGATGCGGGGTTTCCTGCGCTTGGGTTTGCTCTTCGACTTTGTCAGCTGGACCACAAAAAAGGAGAGGA